TTTGAGTTATGGTGTTGGAGGAGAAATACTAAAAGTACCATGGACTGCCAAAAGAACCAATCTATGTTGGAAGAAGTACAGCCAGATGCTCCTTGAAAGCTAGAATGGCCAGATTTTGTCTCTCATACTTCAGACATATTATCAGGTGGGACCAGTCCCTGGAGAAGGATGTCATGTTTTGTCAGAGAAAAAGAGGAAGACCCCAAATAATATGGATTGGTACAGTGGCAGCAGCAGTGTGCTCAGTCGTAGCAACAATTATGAGGTTGGTGTTGGACCGGGCAGTGTTCCATTTTGTTCTGCATAGGGTTGCTATGAATCGGTACCAAGTCGATGGCACCTAACAACAATTATAGCAACAACAGCTCTTAAGCAGTCTGCTAAACTGCCACCCGAGTTTTAAAATAGTTTCATAAGTTTTATTTGATTGGCAAGTTTATTCTAAATCATAGTCCTCTCAAGGCATGATTTAGTCTATTAAATAAAAAATTTTGTGCCAGTATCAAACCCGAGTCTTAGTTCAATAGGTAGTTAACCTTCATCATTAATTTACTACTAGTCCATGATGCTGAGTCATAGTTTTTTAAATTCTGTCCAGAGATGTGTTTTTTTATAATACTTAGATTATTAATTAATCCTGAAAATAACCTGTGGTGAGATTACTAGCTATAAATAGTCTCCATTTTGCCGTATTTTAGAAGACATATATACTTATGCATACATTATACAGACACATAATTACATAGATATTTTGTACAACTACCATTCATGATGTTTGTTAGAGTGCTATATAACATGAATTAAAGGAAAATTGCCTGCATTAATTTTTTAAAATTATTATTTATTGGACAGAAGGGGAATTACTCAGTTGGTTTTCTGTATTACTCCCTGCATTCTGACACTGAGCACCTCATGAAAGCTTGTATACCAGCCACTTCGTGCCTTTGTAGCCCCCCAGTTTTGTTAGCTGAATAAATTGCCCATCCCTATCAGCCCAGTGTACTGAGGAGACATGCTTTATCCTTGGTATGGAGAATCCTTCCCTATTTGGTTGGAATTTTGAGCAGCCTCATCCATAATCAAGGATCCAGTTGATCAGGTCGTAGCAATTTACGCTTGCTCCCGTGTCATACTTCTTTGTGTTCATCTGGTCGAATTCTGGTCAGCAAGCCATCCACACTAGGTCCGATGGGTACTATCTGCAAGTCCAGGAGTTCTTGCATGCCTCTCCCTTCTTCACATCTGGTGGCTGCTTCATTCTTAATTCTAGCCCTTAGTGCCAACGTCATTGTCTTTGGGCTCAGGAGTTCACACATCACCCTGAACTTCAAACCTATCAGCCCATCCTTTTCTCTCTCTCATTCCAAGGTCATTAGGCGTCCATGGAATATGACAAACCTCAGCCCGTGTCTTCTTTGCTGCAGCTTCTCCCCTTCCACTCATAAGTTGACCAGGATGGTTGCCAATGAGTATAAAGGACCATTCTTGTGTTCCCTTTGAGTTTCAGTCTTAGACAGGCATCTACCCTGATGGGTTAGATTTTCTTGTCTTGATGACTCCAGGGCAGACAGCTTGCATAGTAATGTCACAGCCAGTCTGCTTATATTTCCCCCCACTCTTCTCCCTTCTTTGGTCTTTCTTTCAAGGCATATCTTGTGTTCCTCTAGCCATTATAGGTTGGTCTACATGTCTTTTCAATTGGGAATGTCCCACCCCTGAACGTTCCCCACAGCTAATTCTTCCTTGCTAATATTAATGTCCTGGTATAGCACCGTAGGATAAGCACTGGACTGCTAACCACCATGTTGGCGGTTCATACCTCCTTGGAAACTATATAGGATTGCTGTGAATCGGAACTTGATGGCATTTAGCAACAACAACACTATTAATATAGATTATAGATTATTTTTGGTAGCATGTCAGAGGAGCTCCACTTCTGCCAGTAGTTGCTTTCAGGGAGCATACATCCTTGGAAATTATAAGATGTTTTGGTTTACACAAATAAAATGCTTTTTCATAGACACTGTTTTGAAGGAGAAAGATGGATTTATAAATGAAAACTAACCTTTAAATAAATGACTGTTACACTTGTTGTTGTTATATGCTGTGGAGTTGGTTCCGACTCATAGCGACCCTGTACATGGTTTCCAAAGCTGTAAATCTTTATGGGAGCAGAAAGCCTCATCTTTTTCCCACGGAACAGCTGGTAGTTTCGAACTGCTGACTGTGAGATTAGCAGCCTGATTCGTAACCACTAGCTACCAGAGGTCCTTAGTATACTATTATTTTAAATAACAGATATTGTTATTATTATACTATTGGTAGTATTGAATCACTATTTCTAATGCATATTCATATTCTCATTACAGTGAAAGTAACTTTTCTCCCAAGTTTAATGAGAAGGATGGACACGTTGAGAGAAAGAGCAAGAATGGCTTGTATGAAATTAAGAATGGAAGACCTCGGTAGGTAACATGAATGGAGAATCATACAACAATGAGTTGTAACAAAATAGAAAAGATATTTAACATTTATTTAGTGCTTGTATGTGCCATACATTCAACAAAGTAATTCATATACGTGATCTAAGTAAATCTTCACACTAACCTGTGGGTGGATATTTTTAGTTCTGTTTTACAGAGAGTGTGTAAACAATTTGTATACAGGTTTTAAGTAGCAGAAGCATGATTTGAATCTTTTTTTGTAGTGAAGGAATAAGTAATTAAATAAACTAACAAAGAATTGAAAAACATATCACAGCAATTCACTCATTAAATAAAACCACTTCCTATATGTCTGTTTGTTGTATTGTGATGGTTTATGTACTGCTTTGATGCTGTTAGACATGCCACCAGTATTTCCAATGCTAGCAGGATTACCCATACTGGGCAGAAGTTTTCAAACTAAGCTAGACTAAGAGAAAGGAGCTGATTCTCTGCTTTCAAAAATTAGCCATGAAAACTTTCAAGGTAACAATAGATCATTGTTAGATTGGTAAAATACCGGGCCAGCAAAAATGAGGGAAACCCTACATGATAGGGATTTGCACAATAGCTGCAACAGTGGACTCAAACATACCAGCAATTGTGAAGACGGTGCAGGACAGGGTAGTGTTTTGTCCAGTTATACATAAGGTTACCATGAGAGGGAGCTTCCTCCATGGCAACTAGCAACAGTCTTGAAGTAAGGATTTATCTAAACATGTAAGAATAATAAAAGCAAACCAAAGAAAACAATAATTTAACATCAGCATTTTCTATGCTTTTAAAAATGATTTTCTATAAAGTTCCCAAACTATCCATTTTCCTTAAGGATATATTTTAAAAATTAGGAAGACATGTAAAAGTGACTTGATTGTCATTGAGTCTGTAGGACGGCACTACTCCATAGTGTTCCCAAGGACGCAGAGCTGAACTGAAGCAAACTCTCTCCACATCTCTCCCCCAGTACAGCTGGTGGATTTTTGAACCACTGACCCTTCAGTTAGCTGCTGAGCATTTAAACATTGCATCACCGTGGCTCCTTAAATAAAAGTTACAGTGTCCCAAATAAAGAAGGACCATAGCTTTGCCATCATGGTAATTACCTTATAAAAATGTTGCAACTTGCATTTTTAGTTCATCTAGAAAATCATAGTTCTCCCAACTTTGTCTTCTAGTTTTGTTGGTCTTTCTTGGGTCACAACTTAGTCACCTTTCCCTGTGTTTTGTTATTGAGCTTTTTAAAGTCCAATTCTTCTTGCATTTGACTTATTTTTTTAGGTTCCTTTTGGATAAAGATTATTTAAGAATACATATGCTGCTTTATATTTTATATTTGAATATCAAGATCTAGAGTATGGATTACAACTCCATGTAAAGAAAACAAAATTCTTCACAACTGGGCCAATAAACATCATAATAAATGGAGAAAAGATTGAAGTTGTTAAGGATTTCATTTTAACTTGGATCCACAAATAATGTTAATGGAAGCATCTGTCAAGAAATCAAATGTAGTACTGCATTGGGCAAATCTGTTAAAAAACAAAATGTCACTTTGAGGAGCAAGGTGCGCCTGACCCAAGCTATAGTTTTTTATTAGCCTCATATGCATGTGAAAACTGGACAATGAATAAGGAAGACTAGAGAATTAATGTATTTGAATTTTGATGTAGGCAAAGCATAATGAAAATTTACCATGTACAGCCAGATGACGTATTTCATTAGGCAAATCTGCTGCACAGGAACCTTTTTAAGTGTTGAAGAGCAAAGATGTCAGCTTGAGGACTAAGGTGTGCCTGACCCAAGCCATGGTATTTTCAATAACCTCATATGCATACGAAAGCTGGACAGTGAATAAGGAAGACGGTAGAAGAATTGATGCTTGTGAGTTATGGTGTTGGAGTAGAATATTGAAAGTGCCATGGGCTATGGTGTTGGAGGAGAATATTGAAAGTGCCATGGGCTGCCAAAAGAACCAATAGATCCGTTTTGGAAGAAGTGCAGCCAGAGTGCTCCTTGGAGGCCAAGATGGCTAAACTTCATCTCTCATACTTTGGACATATTGTCCGGAGGGAACAGTCGCTAGAGAAGGATATCATACTTGGTAAGATGGAGGGTCAGAGAAAAAGAGGAAGACCCCCAATGAGATGGATTGGCCAGGTGGCAGCATTGATGGACTCAAATGTGGCAACAGTAGTAAGGTTGGCCCAGGATCAGACATCGTTTCATTCGGCTGTGCATGGGGCCGCTGTGAGTCGGTTCTGACTCGATGGCACCTAACAACAACAACAACAACAGCCAGAAAAAAGAACAGGTCTGTCTTGGAAAAAGTACAAACAGAATACTCTTTAGAAATGAGAATGGTGAGATTTTTAGTCTCATACTTTGGACATATTATCAGGAGGGACCTGGAGAAGGATGTCATGCTTGATAGAGTTGAGGGTCAGTGAAAAGAGGACATGTGAGAGGACATCAATCCCTTATGAGATGGATTGATCCAGTGGCTCTACATTAATGGGATCAATCATACAACTCTGAGGGTGGGCAGGTTATATACAAGGCCACAATGAGTTGAAACTTTCTCTACAGTACCCAACAACAGCAACAAATTATGACTAATAGAAATCATCTCTTATTTTGCTGAGCAAAAAATATTATTCAAGGGTTATAAGAGTGTCTCAAGTAGCCCAAAGCCAAAATGCAGCTAACTTTGCCAACGAGTGGAATTGGAAATCCATCAGGACTGTCTTTTTGTCTCAGCTCTGCTTTTCTCTTATATGTTGGCTTCTTTTTCTGTGTCTGCAAAGAATTTTCAGTGTTTCCCAGGCTAATAGATAGTCTATATGTCCATTCTATAACTTCTAGTTTATAAGTCAGCGATTTGGTCATCTATAGAAACTAACATTCTCTATTAATATTGGCTTTTATCATTTATGTTCAGAGGTCTGTGGTTATATGAAATAGATTATAGTTGCTGACCACCATTCCCCTCCTCCTGTGGATTTGAAATATAGTATTATTGTTAGTTCAGCAGTTGATTTGTTTTTTTCTCTTTATTTGTAAATCTTGTTGAAAACTTTTTTATTCTAATACACTGCTGGTGTGGGGCTGTAGCATAAGCGGTGGACTGCAGACCACCAAGTCATTGGTTCAAAGCTACCAGCTTCTCCTCAGAAGCCCTTTGCAGGGTTGTTAGGAATTCAGATTGACTCGGCAGTACTTAACAACAGCAGCAATATAAAAATGAATTCCTTCAATTTTAATAGTTACAGAAAAGAACAGTATAAAAACAGAGATACCAAAAATAAATGTTGACAGGTTTATAAACTTTCATAACAGTGGGAGGACAAAAAAATGTAGTATTAAATAGGTGAGTTTATAGATGACTGCATTTAGCTAGTGTATAATGAATAACACTAAAAGAATGTTAAGTAGAGGAAAATTTCTTAGAGATGAGTGTTGATATGTTTATCTGACAGACATTTTAAGCATTGGATTATGGCATTACGTACTAAGTTGATGCTTATATAAAATTGCTTTCTTTATAACTTGTGATTTAGTGAACTTAAAATCTATGAAATATTAAAAAGTGTTTTCATGATATTGTTGTTGTTAACTGCCATTGAGTGGGTTCCAACTCATAGCAACCCTGTATAGGGTTTCCTAGGAGCAGCTGCTGAGCATCACCCACCAACCTTGTTGTTCAAACTGACTTTGCAGTCTAAGACATTAATAACTGATAATAAAAATCCAGTACCCACTTGGAAAAATGAATTTAAAAATGTAACAAACATTTTTTTAGTGGAGAAAACTGGAAAAGTGGTGTAGGAAAAGATGATGGTGAGAATGTAAAGAGAAATGTGAGTATCCTAAAACATAAACTGTTGCTGTTGTAGAGATAAAGAGATAGTGATGAGGTATAAAGCGTTTTGTCTTGTAAGTTTTACGAGTCCAGTAGATTTCTACTTTGAATTTACAAGTATAGTAGAAATTGAAACAAATTCTTAAATTATAGAAGAACTTTAGAAGTAGACTTAGTATTATCCAGAAATGTGATAATGCTACTGGATTTTTGAGGAGGTATTACTATTCTCTTATTGCTCTTTACCTTCTTTTGGGACATATCAAGTTGGGTCAAAAAACATGAACACATTCAGTTGATTTTTGTCCCCTAGAAATCCTGCAGGACGGACAGGACTGGTTGGACGGGGGCTTTTGGGGCGATGGGGCCCAAATCATGCTGCAGATCCCATCATAACCAGGTAAGAACCACAAGAAACGTTTTTGGAACAAAGAACTGAATGATCAGAAAAATACAGACTGAGCCCCTCCCTCCCTCCCCCTCCCCAAATCTTCTTTAAAGGGATTTTGTACAAATAAATTATAGCAGTGTAAGTGTAAAGTTGTAATTTTATATTGTATGAAATTTAGGCATCATCATACAAAGTTAATTCACCAGATATTTATTGAGTTGGTGCTTTGGAGGATGTAAAAATATATAAGAATCCAAAGCTTTGATTCTCTGTAATTGAAGAATTGTTGTTGTTTAGTGCTTTCGAGTCAGTTCGTACTCATAATGAACCCTGTATAGGGTTTTCGAGGAGAGACTAGTGAGCTTGAACTGCCAACCTTGCAGTTCCAACTGACCTTGCAGTCCAGTGCATTAATCCACAGCGCCATACCAGGACTCCTATTGAAGAGTTGTAAGACACAAACTAGCCAATAAGAAAACATGTCACATGTGAGTATGGTCAAGTTACATGGGTCTTAAGACATAATGTCTTAGAAGTTTGGAAGTAAAGAAAGATGAACTGAAGCACCCAAGAAAGGTACCACGAAGGAGGCAGACTTGATCTGAGTGTGATTCTTTGATAAGGGGACAGGAGGAGACCTAAGTTTTGAATATTAAGGTTCAGAGAAAATATCAGCTTGGTTGAAACAGAAGATTCTTGTTGAATACTAGTGGGTGATAAATTTGAAATGAATTTTATGGAGCATATTAAATGCCAAAGCTCAGGAGTATAAACTGGAGCCATTGAAAATTTCAGAAAAAGGGGAAATCTTTCTTGACATAGACCTATTTAGTAAACCAAATCATATTCCGAAGCCCCCTTGGTGAGCATGAATCATAATAAAAAGAATAGAGGTGAATCTAATATTTCGATGGATGTTACCATCTCTATAGAAATCATCGTTTCAGTGCATCTAGAATATATCTTTAAAAAATAAAAGATTTTTAAGATCTTTTCACTGACCAACTCCCTACCCATATGTAATTGTAAATTTTTTTTAGATGATACAAATATCCTCAATTTTTTTTTATATAGATTTTTCTTAAATAATTTAGGGAATTTCCTTTCCTAGAAGTCTTTGTTTTTCTCTAATCTGATATATTAATAATTTCATAGTTTTACCCTAGGAAGGTAGTAGTATTTTCCCTTATTTTCAAGTCACTGGGAGAGGTACTAATGATAGTCATCTGTTTTATTATCTTATTTGCACTATCAAGTCATACCTCAAATTTTATTTTCCTTCCTTCTTTCCTTCCCTTTTTATTCCACTCTTCCTTCTTACTACTCTATCTGCTTACTTATCTGTTGTTAGGTCAAGTTTCTTCTGACTCACAGCACAAAGGACTGCCTTTTCCTTTGATATTCTCACAATGGTTCTGTTCGAGCCCATTATTGCAGCCACTTTGTCATTCCATCTCATTGAGGGTCTTCCTCTTTCATGCTGATCCTTTATTTTACCAAGCATGATGTCCATCTCCTGGGACTGGTCCCTCCTGATAACATGTCCAAAGTATGCGAGACAAAGTCCTTTCTGAAGTTCAAAATGTGACCATCCTGGCTTCCTAGATAGTAAGTGTTAATATATTGCTCTGAGCTAAACTCAGGCCAGAAAAATTTATTGTTTAAATTTTCATTAAAGACTGGGAGGTGTGGCTATCAGAAATGGGGAGGGATTATCAATAACCTATTTTGTTGTTGTTAAGTGCCTTCAGTGATAATTTATTTGGTACTAATAAAGAACATAATAAAAAACTAGTCTGCTTACAATCATTAAATGAGACCCTTTAGGATATAAATCTGAGCATACATCATTACTCTGCTCTTCATCTTATTCCACTCCTGCCGTCTTGCCTCGCAGTGTCTCTCAGGTCCACTTCTCTTTCCTCTGCTCTAGCCAGGCTCCATGTTAGTCTTAGTTTACCAAGCTCCTTGCATATGCTAAGGTTCCAGTAAGTTTTTGTGAGTGAATGAATCCATCTTTGCTCTCTTATCCTGCCTGTTAGAGTAAGCAGTTGGATTTATTTCATTGAAGTAAATAATACGCCTGCTGATTTACCAACATGGTTATGTTTTGCCGCCATATGAAAATTGGTGTTTTTTGAAAATGGAGGGTTGATTATATTATTATATAACTGCAATTAGCATCATTCCATAACTGCCAAACCACTGAAATTTGTGACCCAGCCAAATTGACACAGTCTTAACTATCACAGCCTTGTTACTTTTGCCTAGCACTTCGGTGTTCATTACTGCCAGATGTATGTCATTAATGTGCTGGGTAGTAGAATTTTTACTATTTCGGTGAATGTGAAATGTTGGATAATGAGAGTCCATAGTGAGTAGGTATATAGATTAAGAGCACAGATTTTGAAAGCATTTTACATGGGCTCACCTTTCGGTTATACCATGTAGTAGCTGTGCAATCTGGGTCAAGTTATGTAACTTTCTGTGCATCGATCTCCATATCTATAACATGAAGGTAGTAATAATAATACATGTATTTTATAAGATTGTTTTGATACTTAAATGGGTAAATCTATAATAATGTGTAGAACAATCAGTACTACATAAATAGTTCTTAAAAACAAAAACAAAATGTGTCCTCTCTCCATTCTCACTGTCTGCCTTTAGTCCTGCCTTTATCATCTTTATCCCAGAATATGTTAACAGTCTCCTAACTGATCTTCTCGTAGTCAGTCTTGCTTCTTTCCAAACCACTCTCCACACATCTGTCATAGTGAGTGAGCGTTCTGAAATACAAATGGTCATGACTTCATCTTAAAAATATTCTCTGTCACTCCAACCAGATGAATTTGATGACTTCTGTCATAAAAACTCTTTGCCTATTATTCTAAGAAGTTGTATTTACCATCCCATCTCTTTTTTTCACTGATGCTCATGGTGCTGGATCCTATACACCCTATATATCCTTTCAGGTTCTTGAACAGTCTTTTCTTTCTTTTTTTTCTAGCTTAAGGCTGAATTTAAAAATTTTTATATTTGTGGTTGTTAAAAATAGACATAGCATAACACACAGTAATTCAGTTTCTTTATGTACAACTCAGTGACTGATAATAGTCTTCAAGTTGTGCAACACTTCTCCTTTTCATGGTTGTACCTCCCCCATTATCATAATAAACTCACTGCGCCCTAACCTTTCTTCCTAATCTTCCTGAGTTGTTGGTCAGTTTTATCCCATGTTAATGGTTCTTTAAAAGACACAGTGCTCAAGGCAGACATTCTTTATTTAATTAAGATAATCTGTTGTTTGGTTTAAAGAAGACTTCAAGGGATATTTTTGGGTGAAAAATGTGAAGTTTATCTCAAGGCAATAGTTTCAGGGGTTTATCTAGCCTCAGAGGCTCCAGAAAGTCTGGATCTGGTGAGACTTTGAAATTCTGTTGGATGTTGTTGTTGTTGTTAGGTGTCATCGAGTTGGTACCAATCTATAGGGACCCTATGCACAGCAGGATGAAACACTGCCCGATCCTGGGCCAACCTCACTACTGTTGCCACACTTGAGCCCACTGATGCTGCTACTTGGCCAATCCATCTC